GTAAGCAAGATCCCTTTTTTGTCATCATTATTCATTACGGGTTCGTCTCTTCTGAAATTGTCCATAATGTTGGGACAATCACTTTGCTTGACATTGCCTTTGCGTTCGATGACTGGCTTGTCTGTAATTTCCAATTTTTTACTGACAGGTCTTTTGATCAGCTCATGCAATGGTGCACATTCTTCAATTTTGGATCCGGAAGAATTACCATTGAGCATGACGGATTTGAAAAAAAGAGCCGTGAGATTTTTATGAACTTCTGGAAGTCGAACACGTGAATAACCGGTAAAAAAGTAACAAAAACAGGTCAAGAGAATGAGAATTAACAGAGTTGCCCTCACTTTTGAGCACCATTTCAACAAACTAGGACAAGTTTTACCATCATTAGAACTAACGCTAACGGCCATTTTAAAACCAAATTAGATAAAAATGGTTAATGTGGTATGAATGAAACTGTGAGGGGATCAAGGATGAGTATAAACCGTACTACACTAGTTGAGAGCAAAACAATACAAACAAAACCCTAGTTTTACTACAATAGTTGAAAGCAAAACAATACAAACAAACCCTATTTTTATTCACAGTAAATCAATTGAAAAGCAAGTCCTACTAACAGCAAAATTAAAACTAACAGAAAACTTAAAACCAAATTCGATAAACGCGTTAGTGTGGTAAGAATAAAACAAGTTGATACAAGCCTCGCCTATTTAAAAAGAGCATAGCACACAGCCATTTTTTGACTATATAGTTTAATATCGTCGCTTCTGTAACAGAAGCCAAGACGTTTATGATGTATTAGTGTAACTTAATGTTGTCATCATAAATACTGCAGAAGTTATTAACTACAGAAGTTTCTGAAGAATAATTAAAATTTTTTCGCTTTTTTTTCTGAAAAAAAATCAATTTATAGCGTCATTTTATGGACAATTTTATTAACCGCGTCACACAGTCGTTAAACGCTTTTGCAAACCGCAGATTGCAGTCAATTTAGATGGGGCAGTACAACAGTGCCGAAGTACAACAGTGTCGAAAAAAAATTAGTTCAACAGTGCCGAAAATGAAAACTTTGTTCAAAATATGACTGAGTGACTGAGTTCCTTTGTTCAAATTTCAACATATTAATTGCGGCAATCAAAAATTAAACGGCAAAAGTTTACAATCTTAAGTGGCACTTAAAGATTTTGGGAGAGAAAATTTGCAATTTAGACGTTTTAGCGCCGAAATAATTGTTCAATTTGCAGTTGCAGACTTCTTGGCGCCGAAATTGGAGCGATTTTCTATGATAATTAGCGTCAGTAATTTCTCGCTCTTTAGAAAATGCGTTTAAATTATTCTGAAATTTCCCCGCCTTTTTCGGAACTGTTGTACTTCGGCACTGTTGAACGCCCCGCCCCCATTTAGATTAATATTAGCGCATCAAAGCACTACAGTTGCGGCACATAGAAACTAAAACCTTTCGTCTTCAGTAGACAAAATGAACCACAATTTTCTGCGCTAATTGGCCAATTTCCCAAAGCCATCTTTAATGAAGTGCGGTCTGTATTTAGACAAACGCGTATTCACATTCGTCAGTAAGCAGACAATTACCATATTAACCAATCAGAATCATGATAAAACATAAATAATACAAAGTAAATAATAATTATTTATTAATTTCTTCCTTGTCTCGATTCTGATTGCTTAAAACAGTATTTGTCTAAATACTGACGTGTCTGAATACGCGGTTGTCTAAATACTGTTATGTATTCGGATCATACCTATTAACTTTTCTAGTAACGAGAGATTGTTTCCACTAATTGCCAATTATGATTAAATTTGCTCAGATCTACCGGAAAAATTATTTACTGAATTCTCATAACTTTTGAAATTAGCTTAAATAATGAGATAGTTAGCGTAATTTTAGTCTAAAAATATTCGAAAGTGAAATGTTAAATAATCGAAACTCTTAGCAAAGTTGACGAAACCATGATTCTAAAAAACAAAGCCATGATTCTTCATATTTCAAAAGTATTTTTGAAATTTGTATGAACTTCGTTAAGGTGCAATTTTTTCCACAATTTTTTTGTGTAAGCCAAACTGGGAAAAAATAAAAAAAAACAATTAAAGAAATTTTTGTCGATTGTTGCGCAAATTGATTTAGTTGAAACAAAAAACCACTACAGCAGATAAAAAAGTTTAGAAGAGATTTATTTTAAAGGAAGAACTCTTAGATCGGCAAACAAAGGAGTGTTTTTAAAAAAAGAAAGTAGGCGCAGTTATCTTAAGATACGCCTCTCTGTTTGAAGTTCTTTTTGTTAAAACTGTGTCAAAAACTTCAAAAAAATTTCAGCTGTTAAAAAATCATATTTTTCTATATTTTCTAAGAACAAATATCTATAGTATTTTAAGTACTTAAATGCAAATTGTGCTAGATTCAAGCAAATAAATGAATATAGTGCAAAAACTTTGCCAAAATTATGCGAGCTGTCCATAATTTTCCTGTGGATATTGGACTAAAAAGCATTTTTTGCAAGCTTCTATTTTGGTAAAATTATAACATATCGATCATTCTTCTTTTGATTTCTTCTTGCTTAATATTTCAAAGTTAAACGCTTGAGTGGAAAAATTGCTTTTTTTACTGGTTTCAATCACATATTTTGAGTATTTAATTATCCCCACAAAAAAGAAACAAATGTGACTTTTAATGCAAGATTTCAGCAATATCGAAAACAGCTATAATTTTTATGCCCATCGAAATTGCATGAGTAGCTAACACACCAAGAAACCGGGACTATTGGTTCCCTACTTTAAAAAACTTTTTTTGTATGATACTTTGTCTGTTTGTCGGATTTTTGCAAAGTTGGTATGAAACTTTGCAGGAGTTTTTTATGAACCGGGAAAACTAAGAAAAAAAAAACATTTTGAATGTTTCAGTTTTGTAGGACACAGTAACTGAAGTTTCAGAAAAGAAGTTTTCTTAGACTCTGAAAAAAATAATTATACCTATAAAAAAGTTTAAGTATTTAGATATAAAAATGCTTGTGCCAAGAAATCCTAAATTTAAACCAAGTGTTATCAAATTTTTTTTGTTCCGACTCCAACTTTCGGATAAAACAGAATATTGATGCTTGGGGTATTTTTTTCAGTCAATTTTTTGTGATCAAAATATTAATTTTTTGAGAAAGTTTTTCATACGCCTTTAAAATATCGACTCTCTGAAATCAAATATAAAAAAAAACATTTTTTGCAAAGTTTTGGAAGTTTGAAAATTGCCAATTTAGCCAAACTTCGGACTAAATTATGCGTCTTTTTTGAAAATTTTTTTGATAATGCTGAAAGTATAAGAGTAATTAATTATGCGTGGTGAAATATCTTGCAGAACAAAATCGTTCCAAACTGAATTGAGGCTAGCTAATTGATCGAATTAATTTCGCACGAGTCAAATTCTACAATTGATTTTTAGTTTTATCCAAAATTTATAGTTTTCATTATTTTTTACAAGTTAAATAGTGAAGCAGCAAGCAATGTTCGGATATTTTGGCCGGTAGCATTTTAGTATGATATATCATTCGAGTCTGATGGTTTTTTTGTTATCAGATTTTGCAAAATTGTGCAAACAAAAAGAAGAAAAAACTTATAAGATACACATAGATTCAAATGTTCGAAAACAGTATAGACTGGGAAAAGGAGAATCGTTTAATTTAGCTCAGTCGCAAAAAAAGTGTTGTCTCAATCAACATGGGCATACTTTTTTCTGGTTGAGAAAGTTGAGACATTCAAGACATATTCAACTTTGGTCAAGTCAGACAAATAATTTTGAGCTGAACTGCAAAAACGCGTGGACAGTTTCTTTTGTCGACAAGATATAGACAGTTGAGACATACTTGATTCTGGTCGACCCGGCCAAAAAATATCCGAAATCGGTCGCGCAAATCTAGCCTAGTCGACACATACCGATACCCGGGTTGACAAAAAATGCTTATCATACAATTTCATATTATGAAAAAATGCTTATCATACTATTTCATAGAGCAAAAATTTTTCATGAAAATAGCATGACATGCATTTTTTCCAAACTATGAAATATTATGATAGGCATTTTTTCCATACTATGAAACTGTATGACAAGCATTTTTTCCATGAATGAAAATACCAAAAAATTTTGTTTTACAAACTTACTTTTATCTTAGCAAATGAAATTAAAAAAATCATAATCGTGTTTACAAAGAAAAACAATTTTTTGTGATTTTGGCTTTTTTGGGTGAAAAACTCATCCTGAACTACGTTATAAACACAGAAAGTCAAATTTTGCATGCAAAATTTTTTTTTCGCAAAAACATATATTTGAGCACAAAAGCAAGTTTGCGAACAAAAAGGGATTAAAATTTTTTTACCTCAAATTTGTGTTTTTGCTTATGAAAAAATGCATATCATACAGTTTTCATATCTGAAAATTATATGATAAGCATTTTTTTGACCAAAATAAAAATCATGTTTTTGAGAGTCAAAATGCATTTTTTCAATAAATTTTTTTTAAACACGTGTAAATTCATCCAGAAACATCGTTAAATTAATTTTGAAGATTTTTTTTTCTATAGCAAAATGCTTATAATACAAGTTTCATTTATGAAAATATTATGATAAGAATTTTTTTAACCAACAATTAAAATCATGTTTTTATTGAGCAGAAAGATTCAAAAGATGGAAATAGAACAGAAGTATTTCTCTAAAAACGTTTAATACAGTTTTTAAATTTTGTATGAAAATTGTATGATAAGCATTTTTTCCATAGTCGCCTTATATGAATTTGTATGATAAGCATTTTTCTTTTATGGACGTCAACCCGGTTACTTGGGAGTATGTCCAGGTTTGGCAGATTTGGTTGAGCCAATCGAAACATATCGATTTTGGTCAATAAAGTCGAAACATAACCGATACTTGAACACATACTCAATTTTTGTCCATATGGTCAACGCATATCAAATTTGGTTCAGAAAATTGAAAAAAAAAAAGAAACTTGGAAACTTATTAAATTGTTGTCGAGATGTTGGAAGTAGAATGATTTTGGTGAGAAAATCGAAACATAACCGATACTCGAGAAAATGATCATTTCTGTCGAGATGGTCGACGCAGTTCAATTCTGGTCGAGAAAGTTGAGATGTATAGATACTTGGGAACAAAACCAATTTTTGTCGATATGTTTGACGCATGTCAAATTTGGTCGAGTAAGTCGGAACATAGCAATACTTGAAAAAATACCCATTTTTATCGATATGGTTGACGCATATCAAATTTGGTCAAGAAAAGAGAAACGCAACCGGTACTTGGGAACAAAATCAATTTTTGTCGAGATGTTTGAAGCATATCAAATTTGGTTTAGAAAGCATAGAATAACCGGTAGTTTAAAACATAATCTTTTTTGTTGAGAAAGTTGAAACATACCGATTTTTGATAAGATACCCATTTTTTCAAAGTGATCCAGGTATATCAATTTCGGCCGAAAAAGTTGAAAAGTAACTCGATTACCTCGACGCCGGATAGAGAAAAACCCACCCGATCCAAATGTTTTTGTCACTAGCGGAATAATAAGTTATGTCTATGTTACTGAACTCACATTTGTAACTTCAAGGCAATCTTAAGGACTACGTTAATCCGAAATGGTCACCATATAAAAATAAAATATCTGTGAGATTTCATTGAAAACCTTAACGACTTTGACAAACTTCGGAGAAAAATTCTAATTTTGTTTCTTGAGGTTGCATACTAAACCCAACATAAGATGAGCGCCCAATCATTTCTTGGTGTGAGATTTTTTATTTAAGTTTATGACCATTTCATACAGTGGAGTTATTAGTGAAAAGTGAAATAAACTTATAAAACCGGGTTGCGTTTCAAACTTTAATCACCAACAAGGTAAAATTAATCAGGTGACGAAATCAAAAAAATTTTAAATAAAATTTCAAACACCATGTTTGTGTATTTTAACTGGTAGAAATTAGGGCTGTAAAAAATGTTGTTATAACTCCAATAGAAGTTTAATATACTAAATTAACTCAAGGGGCTGTGAATCGCCCAGAAAAACAACACGATTCCACTTGGAGGTTTCAAATGGTGTACGAAATAGACAAATGGAAAGTCTCATGGAACTTGGTAGGATCAATAGTATCCGGCGATATCCGGTTACATCGGAACAACGTCCTGCATCTAGTCGCTGCGCTTGCTTCTGTTGTCTTTTCTTCAATATCTATGGAGCACATTTGAAAGATTTTACTTAATTTAGTCGCCACGTTGCAACTGAAACAAACATCATTCTAAGATATTTCTGATTTTTTGTCAGTGAAAAACAAACCTAAGAAAATGGTCACATGCTTACAATAAAAAAAAATTTTGTGTGCTTTCAGAACCTTCTCAAGCCAAACCCACGAAACACTATTTTAAAGTTTCCCTGCTAAGCTCTCGAATATTTAGTGGCCTCGCGTGATTTGTCTTATTTCCAGTTTTTTTATTCATGAGCGCATTGTTTACTGATTCGGGCGCACTTTATCCCCGATTGGCCAGCCAACATTCTAGACCATAAAATCATGAAATTAAAAAAAAAACAAGTTATATGACTTTCGACTTTTAAACTCAGAGCATCAATAGCATCCAGGCTTAAAAGTGCTGTCTACTAAACAGTTGCAACTAATTTAAGAAGTAAACTCAAAGCATCAATAGCATCCAGGCTTAAAAGTGCTGTCTACTAAACAGTTGCAACTATTTTAAGAAGTAAACTCAGAGCATCAATAGCATCCAGGCTTAAAGGTTTTGTCTACTAAACAGTTGCAACTAATTGAAGAAGTAAGCTCTGAGCAACCATAACATCCAGTTTTAAAGGTACTCTCTACTAAACAGTTGCAATTGATTAAAAAAGTGAAATCAGAGCGTACATAGCATCCACGTTTACAGGTGTTGTCTATTAAACAATTTGAACTAATTGAAGAAGTAAACTCAGAGCATCAATAGAATCCAGGTTTAATGATGCTGTCAGTTGCAACTAAACAGTTGCAACTGACTGAAGAAGTAAAGTCAGAGCATCAAGAACATCCAGGTTTACAGGTGCTGTCTACTAAACAATTTGAACTGGTTGAATCAGTAAATTCAGCGCAACAATAGCACCCAGATTTACATGTGCTGTCTACAAAACAGTTGCAACTAATTTAATCAGTAAGCCCAGAGCATCAAAAGCATCCAGGTTTGAAGGTGCTGTCTACCAAACAGTTGCAATTTATTGAGGAAGTAATCTCAGAGCATCAATATTATACAGGTTTAAAGGTGCTGCCTACTAAAGAGTTGCAACTGATTGAAGAAGTAAACTCAGAGCAACCATAGCATCCAGATTTAAAGGTACTGTCAACTAAACAGTTGCAATTGATTAAAAAAGTAAAATCAGAGCGTACATAGCATCCACGTTTTCAGGTGTTGTCTATTAAACAATTTCAACTAATTGAAGCAGTAAAATCAGAGCATCAAAACCATCCAGGTTTACAGGTGTTGTCTAATAAACAATTTCAACTAATTGAAGTAGTAGACTCAAAGCATCAAGAGCATCCAGCCTTACAGGTGCTGTCTACTAAACATTTGCATTTAATTGAAGCAGTAAACTCAGAGCATCAATAGAATCCTGTCTACTAAATAGTTGCAACTGACTGAAGAAGTAAAGTCAGAGCATCAAGAACAGCATCCCGATTTACAGGTGTTGTCTAATAAACAATTTCAACTAATTGAAGCAGTAGACTCAGAGCATCAAGAGCATCCAGCCTTACAGGTGCTGTCTACTAAACAATTGCATTTAATTGAAGCAGTAAACTCAGAGCATCAAGAGCATCCATGTTTACAGGTGCTGTCTACAAAAATATTGGAAATGGTTGAATAAGTAAGTTCAGTGCATCAATAGCATCCAGATTTACATATACTGTCAACTAAACAGTTGCAATTAATTGAAGAGTTAAACTCAGAGCATTAATAGAATCCAGGTTTAATGATGCTGTCTACTAAACAGTTGCAAATGACTGAAGAAGTAAACTCAGAGCATCAATAGCATCCAGACTTACATGTGCTGTCCACTAAACAGTTGCAATTATTTGAAGAAGTAAACTCAGAGCATCAATAGAATCCAGGTTTATTGATGCTGTCTACTAAACAGTTGCAACTGACTGAATAAGTAAACTCAGAGCATCAAGAGCATCCGGGCTTACAGGTGCTGTCTACTAAACAGTTGCAATTAATTGAAGAATTAAACTCAGAGCATCAATAGAATCCAGGTTTAATGATGCTGTTTACTTAACAGTTGCAATTGACTGAAGAAGTAAACTCAGAGCTTCAAGAGCATCTAGCCTTACAGGTGCTGCCTACTAAACAATTGCATTTAATTGAAGCAGTAAACTCAGAGCATCAAGAGCATCCAGGTTTACAGGTGCTGTCTACTAAAATATTGGAAATGGCTGAATAAGTAAGTTCAGTCATCAATAGCATCCAGATTTACAGATGCTGTCTACTAAACAGTTGCAAATAATTGAAGAATTAAACTCATAGCATCCAGATTTAAAGGTACTGTCAACTAAACAGTTGCAATTGATTAAAAAAGTAAAATCAGAGCGACGTTTTCAGGTGTTGTCAATTAAACAATTTCAACTAATTGAAGTAGTAAACTCAGAGCATCAATAGCATCCAGGTTTACAGGTGTTGTCTAATAAACAATTTCAACTAATTGAAGTAGTAGACTCAAAGCATCAAGAGCATCCAGCCTTACAGGTGCTGTCTACTAAACATTTGCATTTAATTGAAGCAGTAAACTCAGAGCATCAAGTGCATCCAGGTTTACAGGTGCTGTCTACTAAAATATTGGAAATGGTTGAATAAGTAAGTTCAGTTCATCAATAGCATCCAGATTTACAGATGCTGTCTACTAAACAGTTGCAAATAATTGAAGAATTAAACTCAGAGCATCAATAGAATCCAGTTTTATTGATGCTGTCTACTAAACAGTTGCAACTGACTGAAGAAGTAAACTCAGAGCATCAAGAGCATCCAGGTTTACAGGTGCTGTCTACTAAACAGTTGCAATTACTTGAAGAAGTAAACTCAGAGCATCAATAGAATCCAGGTTTATTGATGATGTCTACTAAACAGTTACAACTGACTGAAGAAGTAAACTCAGAGCATCAAGAGCATCCAGGTTTACAGTGGCTGTCTACTAAACAGTTGCAATTAATTGAAGAAATATACTCAGAGCATCAATAGAATCCAGGTTTAATGATGCTGTCTACTAAACAGTTGCAACTAACTGAAAAAGTAAAGTCAGAGCATGAAGAACATCATCCAGGCTTACATGTGCTGTCTTCAAAACAGTTACAACTAATTTATTAAGTAAGCCCAGAGCATCAAAACATCCAGGTTTAAAGGTGTTGTCTACCAAACAGTTGCAATTTATTGAGGAAGTAAACTCAGAGCATCAATATTATACAGGTTTAATGGTGCTGTCTACTAAAGAGTTGCAACTGATTGAAGAAGTAAACTCAGAGCAACCATAGCATCCAGACTAGGGGCCCAGCAGAAAGCTGGAGAGACCTGTTTGATTATTTTAATATTGATTATTTTAAAATGGTTTTAAAATTTCAGGTTTCTCAAGTTTACGTGCTAAATATATTTAGCATAAAATCATATGCACAATGGATCAACAATGTGAATAATTATTCACTAGAATTAAGTGAAATGTGTGTTTCACAAACCAGCTAACATTAATGAAATAAAGTATTTTTCATTTTTCTAACGACTCTTCAATTTTCGAATTAATTAAATTTTGTCCAAGCATTGCAAATATGACTATAATATGTTGACTATAACTGACATCACAAAAACTTTCTGGAACAAACCGACCTGATTAAAGAGAACTAGCGTAACTCGTGCAACTTCTCGTTGGACTTCTTCGAACCATACAAAAAAACTCAACACAAAGCCAATAGCACCAAGCAAAAGCGAGGAAACGTAAGCATAGC